ACGTGCCAAATGCGACTATGGATTTCTTTATCAAGGCCAGACATCCAATACTGATCAATGCACTCGTCGTGCCAAACACACCTTAAGACCAAAGTGACCTTCGTCGCTAGCAAAGCCCTTCACGACTTCCGTAACCCCGTCATCGGCCCAGCAGGCGCCACCGGTACTGAGCCACTATAGATCGAAGACGATATGGCTGCATGGACCCGGCCTGTTCCCCAAGGTAATACAGGGGGCGGCGAATATGTAATAATAGATAAAGAATCTCTCTACTCGCTTGGCTGCGTTCGCCGACGAGTTGAACAACCTTGACCCGTTCTTGATTGCTGAAGCTACGGTGAAGGAAGCGACCGCCATGTACCCTAACGACGCGGCCGGTAGAAAGTTGGTGGAAGATGCACTGCATGCTGCCAAGCAGGGCTGACTACATCCTTACTATCTGATTATGTTCTCATTAAGGACAACGAGTTCGAAAGAGCGGGAACTTTGCAGTGTATCTTCCGTATCGAGGTAGCCATCGTCGGCCATCGTGTCTTCTCTTTGCTTTGCATGTAATTAGCATCCATTATCATACATCTAGGAACTAACTTGTATGCAATCTTCTTTTCTTTCGTCGTCTTCTTCTTCTTTCTATAGAGATAGAACGCATTTGCTCCAGCACGGAGCAGTACAGCACAGCACAGCAGATCCTCTAAAGAGTATCTGAAGACACTGCTTTCATGCGCAAGTATCTCCATGCAGAAACCGTAGTATTAGAATTAAAGGGAGTGGCTGGTCTTGATCAAAATGGAACATCCATTGTCGGTGTGTTGTATCGCTGATCACGGTTTCGTTCAATGTCAAGCTGGACTGGACTTAATCTAGTCTTTGCGGACGCTACTGATATCGGGACGGTAAGCTAGGGTTTTAGGCAGGGTATCTTCATGCTTTGACATGGTCATGAGGAGCAATCTCATTTGACGCATGGAAAAACCTTCTTCTCTATGTACAGCTTAAGGAACAGATTTCCGTAACTATACCCATACTATAGGACTAGCATACACCACCATATCCATAGACCTAATGAACAAGACAATAGGGATATCTATTAACTAAAGAAAAGGAACCTAGACTATATAAACGAAAATCAGAAAATCTTCCCCAACACCCTCTTCGTATCATTTCCCAACTTCCCGGATCCTCCACACTCTTATCCCTCCCCAACTTAACCTCATTCTGCTTAAACACCATCCTAACATCCTTCGCACTATCCTTCTTCTTCTTCCCCTTCTCCTCATTCTTCTTCTGAATCCCTTCAATAACCTTGCCCTTCTCATACCCCTCCAAGAACACCTTATCCTCCTTCCTAGCCCTCGAATCCTCCACCCTCTTCCTCGCCTCCCTCTCCGACCTCTCCCTCTGCACCTGCTCCATCAGATCCGCCCACCGGAACCCCTTCAAATACTTCATATTCCACACATCATCATGATACCACCCGCCCTTCTTACCCCCAATAATCGTCGCATTCAGCGTCTCCGCACAAATCTTCGCCGTCTTCTTCGACGCAAACTCAACCCATCCATCCGAGTACGTCTTCCGCTTATTAGATCTCCGACGAGGCGCACTAGCAGGGCGGACTTCGGGGGACAAGAAAACCCGTGTAATAGGCCCGAACGACCGGGTCTCGAGGAGGTTCTTGAGCGCAAACGGTTTCAGGTACGGAGGCAGAGAGGAGAAGTAAATCACGCCCGTTTTGTTCTTCTTAGGCGCCTTCTTGGCTTTGTCGAGAGGCTTCTTGCTTGTTGATTTCTTGGCCGATTCTTCTGTTGTTTCCGTTCTGGCGTCGAGGTAGTGGTCTTCGTCGTTATCATTCATTTCCTCCTCCTCCTCATCTTCATCTTCATCCTCATCCTCCGATCCAGCAGCAGCAGCAGCAGCCTGTTTCTTGCTCTTCTTGCTCCTCCCCTTCATAACCACCCTCTCATCCTCACTATCTCCCAACCCAACCCCATTATCAGAATCCTCATCCTCCGAACCATCGTTCAAGCCGTGTAGATCGCTCGTCGACTGCACTGGTTGCGTGCGCCTCCGCTTCACGGCCCGGCCTTTGCTCTTTTCTTGCTCCGCTGCTTCGGAGTCGTAGCCGCGGTCGTCGTTGCCGGATTCGGCGTCGCTTTCGACGATGTCGAGGAAGTCGTTGCGCTTGCGGGTGGTCATTATGCTAGAAGAGTTTGTATCCGGTATATATTGTGTATGTGAGGGGAAAAAAAAGACTAACAGGAGTATTGGAATTGGAGATGATTGCAGAGAAGTTCATCGAACGGGAACTTTTTTGGGGTGGTCTGTGCGCCGCGGTGGGTGGCCAATCGGAGGGGTGGATTTTCGGACTTCATCCAGGATCTAGATACTTCGATGTACCACTCCCCTCCATAGGTTGTAGATTGACTATTCCAAATCTATGATGTACGAGGATGATAGATAAGGTACAGAAGAAGTGATGATGGACCTAATAAGGAGTAACTCTTGGCTGGATGATATAACGGTTCTCTTTGTATGACTGTATATGATCGCGATAAGATGTAGATCGCTCCAAACTATCAACTGATCGCAACACTCAGCTCTCACTGAGATAGTGCGCAGCAACAGTCATTCTAAAGTGTATATGTATATACAATATTCCGTCATCCGTTCCCATGGAAGCAGAGCCCAGACCAGGCTCTCGTACATGCGATAATTTGGGTATGAACAAATGCAGGTGCAGGTATCGAATCCAACGACGCCAACTCGGTATATATCTAGACAAAGAAAAAGAAAATGAAGACAGATTCTGCAGATCAACAGTGATTCAGTTTGGTTCTTAGATGCCAAGTCTTCCCTTCAACCGGTCATATACGAAAAACCCGGTGGCCGTCATCGGGATCACCTTGAGGTATCCGATCGTCAGCCCAACCCAGAAGCCACGGAAGCCCCGTTCGAGGAATATTGTGCGGGCGGTCTCGACAATGCCGAGTCGGCGGCCATCGCCTACGACGCCGCCGACTTGCATGCGTCGTCGCATCACTTCGAACGGGTACGAGGAAGTCTGCGATACAACACCCGCGATCGCTCCGGAGAAAAGCTCCGCAGCGGCGGTTAGTTGCTGCCGGTGATGTTTCTTCGGGTGTCCGGTTTCTTCGAATTCAGGTATCGTGGTGTAAGGGGATAGCGTCGGCGATTTCAGCCAGTCGCCGACGGTGTCGTGGGTGAGGAAGGATATTCCGGCGTAGGGAAGCATTCCCATGAGAGTCGGGCCGAATCCACGGTAGAAGTTGGCCAGTCCAGAACGAGGAACAGCTTTGTTCACCGTCGCTGAGACACTCTCTGCAGTGGCGGTCACTGGGGCTTCTTTTACTGATGCCCCCGTCGATGATGGCATAGTGACCCGCTCGTTGTAAATCTGTCGGATGATATCGCGGAACGACGAGCGAGACGTGCGTTTCGTCTCGAATGCTAAGCGTACTCGGATGAGCTCTAACGGATACGTGAAGAAAACAGAAGTCATGCCGGCCATGCTTCCAGAGATGAGTCGGCGCAGCGGTGTTTCCTTGTCGCGTGACGGAATCACCACTGCTCGGAACTGCTCGTAGGCGAGGAACTTGATAGCGGCATAGGGGAAAATGCGGAGTAATGTCGCCGAATGGCCCTTGAAGAGACCTCGGGGGCCCTCATGGCGCCTGATATCGCGAACAGCAGATATTAAGCCAAACCAGCTACCGGAATACTTGGCGAATTGTGGATTGGACGCTTGAAATAGGATCTTGACGCGGTCGAGAGGAGCGACAACAGTTTTGGCCTGAATGACACGAATTAGTCTACCACGTCCGGTTCGCATTCCGATTCTCTGCGTTCCTGCAGAAGCAATACTCACCGCACATCCCGCCAAACCCCCCGCCACTCCACTTCGTAATAAGTAGTCCACGCTCCGCTTGTTGACTTCTTGCGTTGCGCCACGGCTCTTTTGCGACGGACGCGGGGTGGAGGCATCGTCGACGGCGGTCGTCTGCGCCGTACCCACGGCTAGGCGATCAGTTGCATCGCCTGGTGTCGAGCCTCGGGCCGGTCTCGACTGTGCGACTTGCTCCATCTGAGGAGAGAACGATTGCGGATTGTTCAAGGATGGTGATGTAGGACGAAACTGTGAGGGGTCGGATCCGGTAGTAGAAGAGTCAGGCTGAGCATGGTCCGAAATGACAGCCGACATGAGCACAAGACTGGCACGAGACCCGGTGCTTCTTCGGGGGGTGATCTGAGGAGACTGCAGCAAGGTCTGTCGCGGACTAGCGGAGGATCGGGGCCATGGACATGGAGATAGGATGCCGCGGGGTAAACAGTCGGTGATGTTTTCTTCTCACAGCGGAAATAAGTTCAACGAGAGGGGAGTTCAAAGATAACAAAAGAAATGCCTAATAGCCAGCAACGCCCCAGACACCAGGCGTAGGATGATAAAGCATCGTCATGGTGGCACTCCGTCGGGCGGCCTGAAGAGCGGAAACTCAGAATCGCCGGGGATGACGTTACGGGCTGACGTGCCGATACCAGCCGCTGCCACTACCCAGTCAGCTGAATACCGTCACATAACACCTCGGCTTCCGAGTGGCGGGCAGTCGTATTTTTCCGGATTTGGACGGCCAACCGCAGCCGCGGCGTTACTCATCCGGAGATAAAGATAGCTAACTCCACCACTGAATACCTAGATCAACTATACCAGAATCCCCTTTATTCGTCTCCTGGGAAGAGGAAGATGATGTACAATACCCGCGGGTCAGAGGCAGGCAGTTCTCTTTCTTTTCGATCAGTTATATATATACTTGGCAATGCCTTGTAAATCTCGTCCTTCGCAGCCCAGCAACACTCCCCTTTCCCGTCTATCACGAACTCAAGTATAACATAGTAGAATAGAAATATATGCGGGAAATCAAAAGCATCATGGTCGCGTCGCTCATGCAATTCTATCGATATACTAACCTTTTTTGGGGTTGCTGACGACTCCAAGTATCCTCAGCAATGCATGCCGTTCAACCCCCAGAAACACCTGTATGTCCAAAAACCAAAATGAAAAAGAAGCCTCGATGGGCTGCTTTAGAAGTTGTATCTGGTGCCCTGTCGTGTAAGCGGTTTGCCTTGACGGTTGGTCGCCTTGATTTCTTTGGGCTCATCCGTCATCCTCTTCGCCCGCTTCGTCGGCCGTGAAGCATCCACATGAAGATGACCATTGTCCGATAATGCCGTGGTATTGCGCCAACGCATACAGCGATGCTTGTTATCATCCACATACGTCTTATTCCGCGTTATCATGCGCTTAGCCGGGACATCCTCCGACTCCTCCTCGTCGGACGTCGGCTCTAGGTATTCTTTGCGGTGTTTCATGTACTTCACGATATTATCACGCTGCAGCAGCAATTCCTTGCGGAGTTTGGACTCGCGGTGGCCTCGCGAATCAAGCCAGTCGAGAAGTGCATCGATCGCCTCTGGGTCCTCGTAGTAGCCCCATTCGGTGGCATTGGTGAGTCTGGTATGTCCTTCCTCGGTTTTCTTGCGCTCCGCGGGAGTAGTCTGGAATTCCTTCTGGTATTGTTTCCTCAGATCATCTGAGACGTCGATGAACCCCACACGCTCCATCTCATCGGGCCCTTGAACCCATAGGCGACCGTTGGCGTACTGCGCTTCTGCCGTTGAGCTGTTGGGCATCCCACCGTATGGCATGGCGTTGCGCTCGAACCACCAGTAGCGGTTGCAAAACCGATCCTTTCCAAGACACCTGGTCCGCGGGCAGTCGGCTTCCCTTAGATCATTATCGACGACATTGATCTTATCTTCAAGCTTCTGGATGTTGGCCTTTTGGTCCTCGATTTTCTTGAGCACTCGTTGGAACTGCTTAGAGCCCTTGGGTTGCTTGGCGAGTTGTTCTTTTCTCTCGCGTTCTTCCTCCTGCTTGCGCTTGCGTTCAAGCGCCCGGTCTATGCCCCCACGAAGCGTCCGCTGAGGAACTTCTTCCTCATCCGAATCCACAGCTTCCGAATCGCCATCCACACCGGTCATTTTGGAGTCTTCCAGGACTTCCAATTCAGGTGCTGGGCTGGGTGACTTTTCCGGTTCGGGCTGCAGAGCTTTGCGCTCCTGATGTAGCCGGCGGAGTTCTTCAAGACTGTGATCATAATAGTGTTAGCCAGTCTATCGCAAAAGTTTTTGTGCAAACGGAATCAGTTCAACAAGGTATACATACGCTGCCTTGCGCGCCTTCTGATACTCGATCTTCTCCTTACGGAACTCGGTCATCTGATTACTGCACTCCTCCAGATAGTTGCGGATGGCTTTAGTCTCTAGGCTGAGCATGCAGATGATCTGGAGAGCCTGGACGCGTAGGTTCACATCCAGTGTAGAGTACTGAGCTTGCGCAGTCTCCTGGGTGGGTTCCGCATCCAATGGAGCTAGGTGCTTCAAAATCTCATTGCACACCTTCTCCATCCGTGGACGGGCGGACAACTGGTGCAGGAGTCCGATAATCACCATTTCCCAACCCCCGTTTCGGAAATCACGCTTCCGCAGGCGATCGATCCAGCCGTACTCCCCAAACATCTCTGCGGCGCGATGAATCTTGACCTCCACGGAGCTCGAACGATCCCGATCAGCCTGCGCTTTGAGATTCTCTGCTTCAGCCTTCGCCAGGCTACTCCGAGTGGTCATTCTCGTGACCACTGGCTCAGGTTCGGGTGTCGGTTCGTCCTCCTCTTCCTCGTCTTCCTCCTCAGATTCGTCCTCTTCTTCGTCTGGAAGTTCCGGTAGAGATATCTGGACAGCGCCATTGTCATCCTTCTCCGCATTGACCAACTTCTTCAGGACAGCGCAGTGCATCTCCACGAATAGCTCGCAGTCCACGTCCTCGGATGAAAACCGCATAGCCTGGACGAAATCATCAAAAGTGAAAGAATCGAGCTGGAAAACTTCGCAATAGACGTTAAGAGTGTTCCACGTTTCCAGAAGACGCCCGACTGATTCCAAGTCAATATCATCATGCAGGAGATCGGCATCCTCGGGATCATCGGTCTCGTCCACGGTTAAGAACTTCAATTCCGGGCGTCGCTTCTTCTTTTCGCGGTCTGGAGCAATATCGAGATCCTCGATGGGGTACTTGATCGGGGGAGGAGATGGCTCCTTGGGAGGCTCGGCTTTGACGACAACCGCAGGGACAGGCTGTGACTTCTTTTCAGTCTCCTGGTTCTTCGTGGATCGGGCTGCTCCATTTGTGGGCTTATTGGCGACAACAAAAGTCGGGTTGCCGTTGAGTGAGCGTTGGTATTCGAGGAACTGTGCTTCTTTGTTCCGGGCCATATCCTGTTGGGAAGGCTTGCCTTTCTGGCCCTTTACCGCGGGCTTCAACTCGGGTAATTGCTGTGATGCGAAAAAGCCAAAGAAGCCTTCCTGGTCCGCTTTTTTCATCGCCTTCTTTTCTGCAACCTTTGCCCCGTACTGCAGGTGCTTTGGTACTTCAGTCGGAATTCTAAACTCCTCCGCAATAGAAGGTTTCACCAGCCACGGTGCACCATTCCACGATTCTCGAGTTACGTTGTTTTTGATGAACGCACGCAGCATTTGCTTGGTAAATGTCTTCCGATCGCGAGTGATGTGCTCCTGGTCCAGTAGCGCCTCTTCATTCGGACGATCCGTAACTTTGACGAGATACGTGGAATAGGCCGGTCTTTTAAGTGTTCCATCAGGGTTGAGCTGGTCCGGAAAATTGACTTTGTCTCGGATTGTGCCGTGAAGACGAGTATTATCATCCAGTAGGATCAGGACGGGTTCTCCTGGGTAAAAGTCCTGCTTAAACTCCTAATACTAGTTAGCGACATGCAAATCGGCAAATACATTCCAAACCACGTAATTACCTCGTAAACTTCATCCACTAGAATGTGCATGTTAGCTTCCACTCAAGATGTCCGTGATATCGACCATTTATGTACATACCAAGGTTATCGACCCGCGATACTGTGGAGAACTGAATTCGGCGCAGAATGGGTTCTTTGAGGGCATCGGGGAATACGCTGTTAACTTCGCGCGATTCCTCCATCTAACAGGACGTTAGCGTCTGGGAACAAAAACGCGCGAATAAGTCTTTCGCATACCTCGCTTCGAAGAGCCTCGAAAAACGTCAGGCCCGAGTGGCCCGTTATCTCGCAAATGAACCTCCGCTGCTTGTAGAAATCCATTCTCTGCAGATACGGTTCATAGTTGACGAAAACTTCGTTGGTCTCCGGGATAACCCAGACCTGCAATCTCATGTCAGCAGGTACGTCGATCAAAATTTGAGGGGTATGCATACCTCGGAGCTGTCATCTTCAATGACCGGTCGAGGAAGGTACTGGACCGGTTTCCGCTTGAACAATACCTAAACAGCCAAGTCAGTCTCGTTGCAATTTCTTTTCCTGCCATCCAATCCGTCCCATATCCAGCGCATTGTGGAATATTTTCGCGACATACCATGGTCCTTCAAGGAATATTAGTTGAAATACGATCGATCATAGACTGCTCGGGGTGGTGGAAAGCATGGATGTGACTAGAAAGCGCAAACAATAGTTAGTTATACGTATGACAGAGACAAAGGACAAAGCATCCAGAAGATAAAGAGCAATGCGCGGTGCATAAAGAACCCAAAGCACGTGGGAGACTCATTGTGCTTCAAGACGTGGGTTCGATGCGAAATGCCTGCGCGCGGAGAGATCCTTGGGATCCATAAAAGGCGATCCGATGGCGCATCTGCAAGCCTGGGCAGTCGCCAACGAACATGCAAGGCCTGGATGGGAGTGTAGATCGAGAATTTACTCACACGACGCGTGTTCAATCGCGCTTCACACCAGTTTCGCGGACCCGAGGCGACCAAGACACGAGACGAGGGAAGCGTGGAGCCGCAAGCTCAGTCGAAAGTGGAGTCGAGATCTAGATGCGGGTATAATATCCCAGGGAAACGGGCTGCGTGCGGGGAAGATGCGCGAGGCGTGAGGGATGGCACAGTGAAGAGGAGGCACTGAGAGAGAAGGCGAAGAGAAGAAAGAGAAAGAGGAGGAGAAGGCAGAAAGGAGAGAAGCGGTCGCCGCAAAAGAGCGACGGCAGAACCGGGCCCCATGAGGATCATTGCGGCAAGTGGTGGGAGGGCCGCCGAGGCACCGGGCACGGTGATTGGCCGAGAGGAGGAGAACAGAACGGACAAGACGTCGGGCGGACGCTCGGTAGGGATTCGCTGCCGCTATACCGCTTCGGGCTGCTTCTCCTTCCCTTAACCCTCTCCCACTCCCCGTCTTTGCCCCCAAGTGCCCTTTTCCTGTCTGCTCGTCCCTCTCTTCCCCCCATTACCCCCATGTTTTTGCACTCATTCGACTCGTCATTTCCCGGAGATTGTTCTGAGGTAAATTTGGTATTGCCTGCACCAAATCTGTTCCTTTTACCTGGCTCTATCTGATCACGGCCTGACCCGTCTGCGGGGACGATCTCACTGACCTTGCGACTCAAGGCCAACAAGCCAGTAGTTTTGCAGCCACATCCAGATTTACAGAACTTTCTGACTTACTACAATCATATACTTGGGGTATCTGGTAGTTTAGTACTACTATTATTGTCGTAGCAAGCTGTCTGTTCTGTTTGTGTCATAGTTCGACTTGACAGTTCTCGTGTAGTTTCACCCGGGTACTTGGGCTGATATCCATTCAATGCTCGGAACCTGCCCATTCTCGCACCCAACTCATTCTGACTCACTAGGAGCAGGTATGCATTTGTATTCCATCTATCTGCATCCCCCAGGCTACCTTGGCTGAAATCTATGCTGCTACCGGATTATAGTTGGCTATTGTATCACTTTACGTGCTTGAGCAGCTTATCACGTATGCACGGTACCAGCTTACCAACTAATAATCGATATTTACTAAACAGTAGGGCCTGCCTTTTATGTATCTGGTACAGACAATCGGCGAAACTCTGTAGCAATGAACTTACACAGACTTGGACTCCATAGTGAGCAACAGTAGCCCGGGCTTCTTAGCAGTATACCTAACGATTAGCAGAGGCTCCACCGTTCTGATACTATTGTATACAACAAATACTAAGACAGCCAGTTATATAGCAGGCTAGCTTCAGTATCTGTCGCGTAAAATTGTTATCCTCCGCTAAGTTATACATTGGATGACTACCCTCAAACTATAGTCATCTCGGCTACAGACGTCCACCATTACTACAAAATAATTCTCTTTCTATACTAGTCTCTACTCTTATCCTCGCTTCGTAAGTAACATAGAGCCTGATTTCCCATGTTTTCCAATACTATTACGCGATCAGGCTACAGTGTTGGCTAACTATAAGGTACATCAGCACCACCCACCGTATTCAACAATCCACCACAACAAAAACGGTACTTTCCTTTATTATTTGCACGTAGAAGCTTGTCCAATACCATAAAAAGCTTTATATATTTAATACTTTCTTGTAATATATTCGGAAATCGTCGTTCATACAATGGCAGTTGTCCTAGAACCCGAAAACAGAGTTATGCAATCTCTGCTCCATGGACAGACTAACAACATCACCACATTCTAGAAACATGACCTACATTCAAGACATAAACCTAAAGCCACCTAAGCAAACCCATAGTAAGTGAAACATCTTCCCAAACTCTTTCCTAGGCGTTAAGTTCATGCTATTTCTACCTCCCATAGTAAACCCCCATCTGACCTATCACCCAAATATATACTAGTAAGTCCCAAAACAAACCCCATTCCCCACAACAACGCAAGGCATGCATCTAATCTCTCCACCCATGAAAGAAATTTATCAATTACTATCCACTCTTTATATCCCAAAATAGCACCCAATACATAACCAGCTCATATTATGCATGCAGAAAAGCGTGAAACTGGTAAAGAAGAAGAAAGCAACGGAAGTCTCATCTGCAGTGTGACAATCCATGGGAACGATCCCGATGCGCGCTAAACTGCATTGGGACTGATGGCTGATGATAAACTTTGCAAAACTGGCTGATCAAGTGGGTCCGAGTTCGGGCGACGGGTTGCACGTGGATGAGCCAAACTGAGCAAACTGGCGCGCACCGCGTCTGATGATTTGGGGCGGTGTGTGTGCGTGTATGTGTGGTGCGGCTGGCTGTGGCGCGGGCGGTGGGTTACATCATGGTTCTTTATCCAACTTTGTGTGAATATTATTGATTTTGGGATTGAAATTTTTAGCAACTTTTTTGGTATCTATATCTATACAGTTTGCTCTCTCTCATGCTGTAAAGTAAACTACCATAAATCCAATCCAGCTACCCACAACTCCAACGGCAGAGTAACTGCTCATGAACATCAGGGGCAGGAATTGCAACCGCTCCAGTCCGAAAATGACCTGGTGCAGGATGGAGCAGTAGATGATCAGTGGGATGGCAATGGTCAGGTACAGCAGGGAGAAGCGATCGGCGACGAAGATCCGGCGTCGCTCGGAGACAGGTGCCACCTGATCAAATACGTAGAGGAACAGCACGAGCCACAGGACTGTGTAGACCGTTTTGATCGGGAATTCGGCGGCGGTAAAGAGTAAGGGGAACAAAGAGACGTGTCCGGCGACAGCCAGGGGGCGGAATGCGCTAAAGTAGCGCCGGTCTTTGAGCGCGATGAGGCTAAATGGGATGATGATCAGGAGTACCGCTTTCTCATGAACGTGCCAGCCGAACAGGAATGATGCATATCCGCACAGGGTGATAGCACCGACAAATGTCTCCCATTCAGGGTTGCGCCAGAGCTTTACCAAGGGAAGCTAGTAATGGTTAGGACTATCGCGTCAAACCATACCATTTTCAAGCACTTACCAACTGGAACAAGAAGGTCAAGATAAACGTGTGCTCCTTGGTGACTTCAGGAAGTACGGCGAAAGAAGTGTCTCCGACGAGACCACGGGTGACACTGACCAGAGCGTCCTGATTGACTGGAAGACCCAACCGCGGAGCAACTGCACTAATTAATCCCTTTGAACGAAAGAATATTTTTTTGGTTTAATCGAACTTACGCTGGATCAAGATGCGATCGGTAAATGAGTACATCGCCCAAACATTTGGTGCCCAGTACGCATGGCATAACCCTCTAGAGAAGGGGAAGAGCCTGTCCTTCAATTGAAGCAGTTGACCCCAGGAGGCGAACGGCCCGAAAGCCAAGGCGAAAACGCCAACCACGCACACTCCGAGCTTGATGATGTTGAAGAAACGAGGGCGGAAAATCGACTTCGGGTCCAGACAGTAGACCCTCAGCAAATAGACGAAGTATGCCAAGGCAAGGTATAGATAGATGTGCTTCAAGCACAGTAAAATAGCAAAGCTGATCCCACTGTAGAGAAGAGTCGACTGCTTCCGCGCCAGAACGATTGACAAAATCAAGATGCCGTAAAGAAATCCGTTATACTGAAAGTGAATGTGGTCGATGATAAGCAGACCGGGGGACAAGAAGATGGACAAGCTGGCGATGTGCGCAAGGTGTTTGTTTTGTTGCGATACCGACTTGACAAATCTAGTCGTTCCTTGAATCAGCAAGTCAAACGAGGCAGAATACGGTATGAAAGGATTACCTGCTCAAAGCGAAGAGCAGAACCAGCTCGGTGACGATAACCGTGGCCCTCTGGAAGTAGATTGTTTGCCATGAATCATGATTGAGGTTGGTGACAATCAACATCGCCGGGTCTGCATAACGAGCCGCCTGGGAGAGTACCCATTCAAATGCCGCGAAAAAGGGAGGGTAGTCGAGCGTCCATTCCGACGTTTTCTAATCGTAAATCCGCAATTTAGTATGAATCACCCTTGAAGCGGTATGCGCTGGCGGGTACGTACCTCGTAGTACCATTCCTTGACGGGCAACGAGTGTGTAATGGCAAGCCAGTTTCGATGAACCTCAAAGTCGGTGGATTTGCTGCACGTTCCAGCCACAATTCAGCTGTGAGTTCTGCAACCTCGCGGTGCTGTTCTAGACCATTTGCGGACCAACGTACTATGCGGGGAACAAAAGGATTTTGAAAGCAGTTGCAACAATGGCGCACTGCGCCAAAGAAGGGTATAATTCGGTCATTGGTAGTCTTGCGCTTGACGCGCCGCCCGGAGAAGGAAAAGGAAAGGAGCGTGGGGCATGGAAAGGCGAAAGAAAAAGTTGTGCCAATTCTGGGGAGGGAGAGGGATAACAATGACAAGAATAGGCCCATGGAACCCATCCGGGGCGGGGTGCACGTGACAGCGACAGGGGACGGGGAGCAGAAAGGCCAATCTGTCCCCTGCATTTCGCGGCAGATCTTCTTGTTACGATTTGCTGCGGCAATGGACTTGGCTTCGGACGTAGGAGTCCGTCACTCGGTCGTTCTCTCTAGCTTGGAAATTCGTCATCTGGTCGACTTCTCCCCCGCAACTACCTCTATTGCCAGGGAAATTCGTCTCTGCGTGATCGCCATTGTGGTTGGGTGGACCACCTCGCGCGTTGTCTCCGCCTTGTTGAACCGGAGATCGTCGTCGGACCAGTAACAAGATACACCCAAGCTTACTCGGAGCTTCACCTTGCTTCTTCTTCTTATCTGGCTCTCCCGCTGTCAATCCCTCTCTATTTCTTACCCATTGACTGCTTCTGCTGTGCTTTGGTTACATACTCAGCCTTTTCCCTCATTGTTGTTTGTTGAAACTTTAGTACCTGCATAACTTGTTTGCGTGACGAGCCTCCGATTGCATAGACATCATGAAGATCCCTGCTTCTCTCCTTTCTTTGGTTGCTACTGCCGCAGCTCAATCGGTGATTGAAAGCTCCAGCTTTGGCTTTGGCCAGACGTAAGTGTCACAGTCTTAATCGGTCCCACCTGAGTCAATCCCTGATTTACTAATGCCTCTCAGGTTATCAACAGATGGCGGTGCCATTTCTGGGTGGCAGACTGGAGGAGAATCGCACAATCCCGACATCGTATGCTGATCATTCCCATGATGAAGCGCGAAGCCATTGTGTACTAACTGCTCCGTAGCTTTCTAACAAGATTATCCTGACACCGCCTTACCCTGGCAACACCAGGGGATTTGCTTGGTCCCAGACTCCGTAAGTCCTGTCGGCGTCTGCTCTTTGTCTATTGATATTGACCCAATTCTATAGTGTATCGCAATCGGAATGGACTGCAGAGTTCCAATTCCGAGCGACTGGTCCCGAAAGGGGTGGAGGTAACCTCCAGCTCTGGTATGCCAAGGACGGCAAAGACAGAATTGGCACTTCCAGCATCTATACCGTCAACCAATTCGACGGTTTTGCTCTGGTCATTGATAGCCATGGCGGAAGGGTAAGTCAGAAACTTCTGTCTGATGGCCAAAGCTAATATTTCGCCAGGGTGGAAGTGTGCGCGGGTTCCTCAACGATGGCACTACAGACTACAAGAGCCACAGAAGCGTTGATAGCCTGGCCTTTGGTCACTGCGACTACCCTTACCGCAACCTTGGACGCCCCTCTACCGTCCGCCTGAAGCATACCAAGTCTGTCTTCGAGGTTACTGTCGACGACAAGCTGTGCTTTTCCACCGATAAGGTACGTCCATCCAAGTCAGATCTCCATTATCATCAACCTCCTAACCCAAGCAGGTCGCTCTTCCTACCGGCAACGTCTTTGGTCTTACCGCCGCAACCCCCGAGAACCCCGACTCCTTCGAAGTCTTCAAGTTCGTTCTCCAATCCGCCGAGTCTGGAGCAGGCAGCACTGTGCCCGTCCAGCAGCAGAACACCAACCAGCAGCCCATTGCCGCTCAGCAACAGGCCGTTCCTCAACAGCAGCAGCAGGCACCCCCTGTCAACACTGGCTTTGAGCAGCAGTTTGCCGACCTAAGCAACCGCGTTCAGGGCGTCAATCAAGCCACTGACAACATCCTTCGTGAACTCGGAAGCCAAGACACCAAGGCCGCCAACCGCCAAGTCGAGCTCCTCCAGAAGCTCGCCAGCAAGGACCAGATCGCCAGCCTCGACGCCAGACTCCAGAAATTGGAACAGATGCTGCAAACCATCCAGCGTGACCTGGAGGGCAAGGACTACCACGGCCGCTTTAACCAGCTTCAGGAGACCTTGCGCTCGTCTCACCTCAGCTTGACCGAGAACCTCTTGGGAGGTGAGCACTGCCCCTTTTCTTCTTCCAAATCATACAAATAGCAACTAACTCGTTCACACACAGTCATTACCTCCTCCGCCCCGCGCATGGGCTTCTTCATCTGCATGATCATCGCCTTCCAGGGTCTTCTCGCCGTGGCTTACATCGTCTACAAGCGTCGCCGTGCGAACATGCCCAAGAAGTTCCTCTAAACTTCTCTCATCTCCCCCCCCCCCCCCCAAACCCGCCCTCTGTACCTCTACCGACGACTTGAAATGACATCCCTAGTCAGCCAGTCTGCAGTAACGAACGATATCACGAGAACCCCGACAGCGCCGTTGTACGGTGTGGGTGTTCCTTCTCTTCGTTATCTGATTTTTCCCATCATGTGTAACTATTCTTTTATCTTATACTAGCCAACGTTATATTATCTCGCGTTCCTCAAATACCCCCGGGTCTTCTGTACATGTACACCTACAAATACACTTGCTTGACTTTGATCTCGTTTACTGTCCTGTGCGGTGAAGCGCAATATAGATGGTCTGTTCCGGGGTCAATCAATCAATCAATCAGTCAGTCAATCAATTCATTGATCTATTCGTCAAGCGATGTGTCTACTAGACAGCTTGCAATGCGTAAATGTATTAATTTAATTTCCAGACAAAATCATCCTATGATATTGATCAACCTTGGCCTGCCTCATTCGACTCCAAATCCTCTGATATACATTACAGCATCCGAATTATATGCTAATCAGGCCCAACCTAGTACGTAGTATCACTAACCTCCAGGACAAGAGAAGGAAGGAGGAATCGAAGGATTCTGATTAAAGCCGACTTTTCTGCGAGTAAATTCCGTAGTGCGGTAACTTGCCCGGATACTACGGAACCAGAAGGGCGAAAGGAGGGGGGAATTAGTACCATTACTACTACTACTACTACTACTACTACTACTACCGGACTTATACGGAGAGATATGGAGTGGATGGAACGGAAATGAAGTGTAAAATTGCATGAAATTTCAGAAATGGATATTTGTGTGTTGGTAGACCGAGACGCACCACTAAACATGAATAAAGGGTAGGTCCCTTTTGGATCTGAATGGTGTGGTGCGTCTCGGTCTACCAACGTTGTCGATAAAAACATGAGAGTAGAAAAGAAATTGGCCCATCTCTCCTGGGTAGACCGAGATGCACCACCATTCTAGGGGTAGGTCCCTCTTGATGTGGTGGGTGTGGTGCGTCTCGGTCTACCCAGCATTGTCTGAAAAACACACATGAGTGAAAAAATTGGCCTATCTCCCCCGGCCGGTCCATCCGGGGGAGATGGGACCGGACATTGAAAAAATAAAAATAAAAAGTAAAAAAGAAAACATTGAAATGGGAAAGGAACATGAAAATGCCTCGCAGCTATTGCTGCGTTTCTTATGCAAGATTCAATCAATATGCCCAAGGATGCCATGCTCTGTATGCGCCGAATGTTCAATAAGCCGAAATGGGACCATGGTTTTTTTGCACAGAAAAGCTTAAAACCATCTAATGTGGAAACTGTAGTAGGACGCCGACGCCTTATTCCCTAATGCCACGGGTGATCCCTGCCAATCACTGCGATGCGCCGCGCCAAACCGAAACATGAACAGCAATACAAATAGTAGTTAACCAAGGTCGTAGCATGGCGTAATATTATAGAAGGTTGAAGTGTTAGAAATCTTTGTATAGCATGCGCCGACTTGGTCTGGCGCAAGTGACACTGACAAGGCGAATCATCGCCGATATGTGACAACCGATAGTGTCTCAGTGCGGAGACACCGGTTGTGGCTTTTAATCTATGCACAGAGGATTAGCCTGGTGTTTCTTTTCCTCTCTTTAATTTGTCCTTTTGTTTTGATATGTGTTTTGGAAATTTTTTGTCCTGTTTTTTTTTTGTTTCTTTTTCATTTCTTTTTTCGGTTTTGCTGTTTGTTTATCGAGAACGGAATGGCTGTTCCCGACAGAAAGTTGCCGTGACTGGCAACGTAATAGGCTCCGAGTAAATTGATTCGATGATGGAGTTTGACTGTGACGATATTTGAAGTTATTCCTCTGATGGAACGGCGATGGACTAAGTGCTGGCTGGCTGGGGCGGCTCCGACTGCGCATTCAGCACCTGAATGCGTTGTTCAATTAAATTCTGTAGAGCACGAAGAGAGGCGATCTCCGTGTTGGCCGAGGGAAGATCGGGCGGAGCGTTTGCCTTGAGTTGGTCTATAAGCAAACCGATCTTTCCATCTTCAGGCCCTTGCCTAGAAGGTCCGTCGCCCTGTGCGAGTGAGATGAGGTTCGCGGCCGCTTCCCGCTCAGCGATAGTGCGTGAGTTCAAGATCGCAGCCGCTGTGTCGTCTTCCGGAAGAGCAGGCTTCTGGGACGAGTAGAATGCATTGGCCTTGGCCACGAGCTTGTCGAATTCTGAGGTGGCATAGTCCAGATATTTGCCCGCGGCCTCCTTCATCAGCTTGTATTCTTCGTTTTCCCTTCTCCACAAGTCAGACAAGTCAGAGATTTAACCAATAATCACGCTTAAGAGTCTACTCACCTCTTGACTGTTTGGATGAAGTCCATTTTTAGACCGCGCTCTGACACACGGTACATGATACCTTCCTCTTCCTGTTCCTCCATTCTCTCGACCTCATCCTCATCTGGAAGGACTTCGACGTCGACCATTCGGGGTCGCTTCGGACGACGAATGCGCTTTAGCACATCGTATCCCTCCTCGTCCTTGACCCAGTATTGTAGATCATGCCACACGTGGTTGGGGCACATCCAGCTGTGGTTCCTACGATTACTTCCGCCTTTCTGGATGGGAGGCATGGGCATAGGCGGATCACAACAGTCCATGTGGAAAGCACAAGGACAATAGTCGCACTGGATGATGGGCTGACGGCCGCCACTCGTGCGACCGCAAGCTGCGCAAAGAATCACATTGCCTTTGGCATCCTGTGTTCGTAGCAGATAAGGGTCATCATAACGGCCATGCCGGGCCCCTCGGCGGGGATAGAACTTGGGAAGTGGCACGACCTCATCGTATTTGTTCTCTTCGCCCGTAACCACACCGGTGAAGTAATCGCGGATGCCAAGGGGTAAGAGGTAGTCTTTCTGCGGAGCGTTGTCCAGGGAACCCAGCAAAGACGTCATAGGCTTTGACAACGAGCATTTCGGGCAAAACCAATCCCCCTCTGGAGGGTTTGCCGGGTCCAATGGCGGGTTAAGACAGGAGAAGTGGAAAGAATTTGGGCAGCCATCGCAACACAGCAGCTGGCCGCTTCCGTTACAATTGTGGCAAAAGTCGTTGTTCTCCTGGCGTTCGTTGTCGCTTCTGCCAGCATGTTAGTGCTCAGAGGAACAAGTGGTAAAGAGACAAGGGGAACTTACGTCAGGGTAGGTGTCAGTCGTCGGTTGTCGCCGGCATCACTACTGGCTGGACTCTCAGAGCGCTGTCTGCTACTCACGCCAGCTCCCAGTGATGCTGGTTGAGATCTACTGGCTGCAGTGGGGACAGGAGATGGCACATTAGACTGTTGTGGGTCAGAAGCCAATGAGGAACGCATCTGACTTTCCAAAGCTATAATGGTTGGGAGAGGCTTCTGCAGGCGAGTACGCTTGAATCGTGCCTCTTCCTCGGGGTTCGGCTCGTCTTCAAGCGCATGCTTCTGTGGGGGAGCCGTAGCAGCACTGGGCGGGGCGACTGGCTCCTTCCTCTTAGGTGCACCCCTTTTGGCCTTTTTACCCCTGGCGCGAGCACGGGAACTTGCCGCTCCAGGAGCCATGCCGGGGGCAAAAGTCTCGGCATCAAGGGAGACCGCCGAAGAGAGTGATGAAATGCTGCTGGCCGACCGGGGGCGAGCCAAGACAGGTGCCGCGGCAATGTCTTCGTCGGCTTCGGCCTGGACCTCCTTCCATGCAGCGCGCATAACACTCTGGAAGGCTGAGCGTTCCCGCGGGCCGGGATTTTCCTGGCAGATGCCGTCGAGAATAGAAAGCGCAAAAGGGTCTTTGTTGCATGTCTCCCACAATCTGATGAGACCGCGTGAAACAGGGCGATTGTTGGTCTCTAGCGCCAGTCGGAGGGCTTTTTCGACAGCAATCTTGATCCGATCGACGTCTACATCGGTCGATGTAGGAACAGGCAGAGAAGTAAAAGCAGACATGTCCGGCGAGGCCTTGTTCTTAGTAGACAGAGGTTCGTCCATCGGCTCTTCGGCGGGCGTTAAGGGGGTCTGAGGTTTGGTATCACCTCCCTCGCCGTTCGGTGTGGCCCGTGACTCCTTCTTCGCAGAGATGTTCTGGACACTGGGCTTGATAGGTGCCAGTCCAACCTTGCGCAAGTCGGCAGCCGACGGCATGGTTCCCAGTGGGCGCATACTGGACAGTACGGGGTTCGCGTGATGGGACACATTACACCATGGCGTGTCTGCGAAGCTGGGTTCAGGCTCTCTCAATGGTGGTTCAACCCATCCGGCACTGCTATCAAGAAGATTTGTATCACTCAGAGTGTCTGAAGCCTCATTCTTCGATTGTTCCAAACGCGACTGGGTACGAGAGGGCGGGTCCTGAGGAGGATCGGTAGCCACGCGGCTGTTCCAGCCAGTGCGGCGCTGCTTACGAGGCCGTGTAGAATCGGTGAGCGAAGAAGCAGTGCTTGCAGTAGTAGGTGCGCCAAGTGGAGTGGAGGGGCGAGAGTTATTCGACCAGGCATGGGACGACGAACGGAGATTCGGAGCCATTGTTGTAGACAGGGCTCGCAAGTTGCAACGGCTACAAAGCCAGGGTTAGCCTGCGGAAACAAAAAGTTGCGACAGACGAATTGAAATGACAATTACTCACTGATTAATAGATTCCAAGCAAACACCGAGCGTGCCCAGCGTGGCTGGTTGGAATCGAGGCCAGCCCGCGCGCTGTCTGCGGGTTGATGGAAGGAAGAAAGGTTGCGGAGTTGGAGTGCCGGAAGTTTTCGAGTCCCAATCAGGCCTCCCTCTAGGGGGTTCGCCGCGGAGCTCTGTCAACCACAAAAATACCAGACACCCTCGATCTGGTTTCCAAGTACATTAGATTCTTGAAAGTGGATTTCGTGTTGTATATAATAGAAGATTTATTGTCTTCATTTTCTGGAGTGGAGTGCTTACTAGAGTGACCCTATGATACGCGTCAAGGGGCCGTGAGATAGAATCGTAATAAGAGCCAACACAACTCTGTAAATCCTGCCTAAGTGCCTTATATGACACAAGCTGCAATAGGATCGAGGATGTGTAGGAATCAAAATGAAGGCTGAGTTATTTCAGAAAGTTTTCAAGTCCTGTGATTGGGTCAGCCGTTCAACATCCTGAAGCTTTCCAAGTCCAAATCTGATGCCCAACGCAAGCGGACTATATGGAAGCGTCCTGATGATACAATGAGGTCCATCCAGTGCTTAAGATACATACAGCAGCAGGAGAAGACACAAGAAGACAAAAGCACGAGCACCGACTTGGTCCGTAGGAGTAAGCCAAGCTCTGGGGAAGGAGAACACACGCGCAGAACACAGCTCCAGGACTTTAATCAAACTTACCAGGTACGACAAAGTCAATCAGCAATCCTCGGAGCAGTTTCTTCTGCTGTAGCTGATACAAAGATGACGTATTGGAAGGAAGAAGACACGATGTATGTGCCGATGTAGATGCCAAAGAAGGAGATTGCTGGATTCAACGACAAAGAACAATCTGGTGAAGCGTTTGAAACCTCAAGCAAAGCGAACCTTCTCTCTGAAAAGCAGACAAACGAAGAAGATGATGGATAAGCGGAAGAAGATATAGGTTAGTGAGGAGGAATGGATGAATGGGAAAGTTTGAAGAGAAACAAGGAAGCAGGAGAGCAGCGTCCGGAAACTCAGAAGAAAGGTCAAGTTCGCAAACGAGAATTCTGCAAGGTGTTATACACAACGCGTGTGTTCTCTATGCAGAAGGATCGTGGCTGACTTCTCTGGAAAGGTTCCGATATCAGACTGATGAGTAGGAGGGGTTGAGGATGCGGAAGAGCAAGGAGATGTGATTCTTGGACGTGTTGTTCAGGTAATAACTTGAGCTACACGCTGTAGAAGAATGATCAAGAATGCGAAGAGAATAGAAATCTGAAAGGGGAAAAGCGAGTAGTTAAGAAAGCTGTTGTGGCTGGGGTTCTTTGGGGAAAGTGAAGCAAGTGAGTGAATGATACTCCGATGTCACTGAGAGCGAGTTTGCAGCCGCGGGAAAAGAAGGGTACGACGCTGCCGCAAGTATTCTAGAGAAGTAGACAGCAGATGTTTCTCCTGTATTCAGAATATTAAACCGTCCTGAGATGATGGAAGTCGGCAGGAGAACTTTGGGTAGGAAGTGGAAAGGGGAAAGGCACAGGGAAGGGAGAAGATGGAAGATGGAAGAGGAGGAAGAATTGGGGAGAAGCCAGACGGAGGTCAGTTGGCCCACTCCTTCAACCTCCAAGCCCTCTCAACACCAGACTGCCCAACACACCTCTAGGATGCTCTCAGTGAATGAGCTGGGACGGGCTGAACACAGTATGTTCACTCAAATCGACCTTCTTGGATAGACAGCTGGTCCTCCTTCACTCCGTGCATCCCGCCCCAAGCCAACAAACTGGCTGACTCCACTGCCGGTAGATGGCTATATGCTGAACCCTACTGTTGAACAGAACGAACAGTCTACTTGAAAGAGAGAGAAACTATCGGACCCAAGCTTAATGATACTGACAAAGAGAACTACTAAATGTTGCCTTTCCTTAAGCCTTTGTCGGGGGTGGGGTGGCGGCAACGGCTGGGCAAGCAACTTGCCTCTCCAGTATGACAGTCTCCCGAGATATACCACACCCCCTTGAAGCACCGAAAGAGATGATCTAATGCTTGGTTGACCGGAAAGCTCATCGGGGGCGGTATGTCCTCTTCTCTGAAGGCCATGGGGAAGGGGCCGGGTTATGCTGACCTCACCGTTAGATACAACTGAAGTCCGAACGGATCATCGTACATAATTCCATTGCCTGCACATAAAAGCGAGTAGAAAGAAATCATTCCGGGAACACCTGCATTCATGTATAAATGCGGCAAAGGTAAAAGCGTGATATGCACAACATCGGAGGCAAATCTCAGACCGGTATACATAGGCCGGATAGATCTAGTAATGTTGATGGAAAGCAAGATGTTCTGCCTCATTTTTTTGCTTCCTTTTTATTCAAGCATTTACATATCACATCTTCTGAACTTCTGAACTAGTTATGTAACAACAGGTTTTGTAATAGGGTATTATGGAAGACATCAGTCTCCCACATGGCTCATCTTTCGCACGGATTTCCCCCATCCCTCATCATCTGCAGAACTCCCTGGATGCAACTCCAAAAAGGATCGTTGTAATGGCGCGCATCGCCAATGCTTCGGTATGACGAAGAATGTTTCCTGCAAAGAAATCATAGGCTTTCATTTGAGCCAAACCAACACGCCCACGGACACGGCAGATGTGACGCCCAGGTCAGACGATGATTTACTCGTCAGCCTTCTTGGCGGCGGTCTTCTTCTTGTTGTTCTTGTTCTTCTTGGAGCCGGTGGATCTGGCCAACGGGCGCTCGAGGATCGCAAGGATCTCCTCGTCCTCGATCTTCTTGTCCGTCTGGAACTTGGAAAGATCAGGGGTGGTGGGAGCGGCAAGACGGGTGATGCCGTTCTTGGTAATAGCTAGAGCCTTGTTAGAAGAGATATTTTCTGGAGCAACCGTAGATCAATGGGAATAGGCAAAACATACCAAGAGTGGTCAGGACGCGGGACACGGGAGCGTTGTCGGCATCACCGGCGGGCTCGTACTGTCTCAGGACACCACCACGGACACACTCGACAACACCAACCTTGGCAGACTTCTCATCATCCAGCTGGCGCAAGCTGAAGGGGAACTGGCCGAACTTCTTGACGATCTCGGAGAGAGTCTGTCTGGAGCTAGGGCGCTTGAGGCCGTAGGTGGTGGTGGTACGGCGGTGGAGAGTAGCACGGTGAGGGAGGGTCTTGACCTTTCCGGATCCGAGAGACAGACCAAGCTCAACACCCCAGACTTCACCGACCTCGGGGACACCCTCGCCCTTGACACCAGCGCCGGGCGAGAGGATGATCTTCTTCTCGCCTTCGATCTCGTTGCGGTCGAACAGCCAGCTGGTGGTGTTCTCGACAACGTTGCAGTCGTAGGCCTTGGCAACCTTCTCAATCAACTGAGTGATCTGAGCCTGGGTAGGAGGCTTCTGGGCAGCGGCCTTCTGCTTCTCCTCATCAGTTCCGCTGGCGAGCAGGCCAGGGGGAACCATAAGTCTCAGGAGAAGCTCGTTGGCGTAGTGAGTGGCGTGGATAAGGTCAGCCTCGCGGCCGGTCACCACATCGGCAGACGAGTTGCTGTCGGCGACAACGACCATGTCGCAAACGATGGTACCGAAGCCATCGATCTGAGCACCAAGCTGGATCTTGGCGATTTCACCGGCCTTCAAGGTAGTCTCGGCCTCCTGAGCGTCGGACACCAGGGGAGTGTAGGGAGTCACATAGGAGCTGGGAGAGACAGTGGTGGGGTGAGCGATACCTTTCCCCGGCGCATCACGTTAACTCGCTGATCTGACACTGGTTTCTCAGGACTAACAAAGGGAACATACCCTTCTGGATCTTCTTGCCCTTGTAGACCTTGGCAATCTCCTCCTCGAGGAGCTGGTCACCCTTCTGGCAAAGCTCAACGATCTTGCTGCCCTCAACACACCATCCTAGTATCACGAGATTAGAATTTCGTAGCCCTAAACAAGGCGCAGACGCCCGGGTCGAGGAATCACACACCTGAGACGGCTTCGAGAACCTTCTGGGAGATCTGAGCAGCGGTCTTGTACTTGGTCAAGGTGTCGGGGTTGTTGAGGGTGTAGTCTAGAAATGGACCGAGGCCGGGTTAGTTAGGGTGGAGAGTGAACAGGCATGATTAAGCCGGAGATTGTAGGGTGATGATAGAGATGAAGATATTTGACAGTCAGTTCAAGACGAGGGCAGGTTGCGATCGTTCCGTAACGCTCGTCCGCTGCTCCAGAGTCGTCGCCAAACCTAAGCCGAACCATGACGACGAAAGCAAGCGGGAGCCCACAAACGCCGGAGCTTTTTTCAAATTGGAGGGACCAAGAGGGGTAGCTGGGATGTGGCATGAGCACTTACCAACCTCGGGGGCCTGAGTCTCAGCCATTGTGTATCGATAAGGGGATCCTCGCGCTGCTGCGAGGAAGAATTACAGATGAAGGTATCTGGGGGAGCAGTAGTTCTAGCACAACAGTAAGAGAAAAGAGGAAAATGGACTCTGCTGGAGAGCTGGAGAACCTTACTAGTAGTGAGAATGGAGTCGTGTGCACCGCACCGTATTATTTACCACCAATACACCTGGAGCGGGGGCTTCGGCCTGGTTTTTCGCTGCGTTGGCGGTGGGGTTCTCTTCCCTTTCCGAGTAGGGCTTGGTATCTGGATGTTTTGCTATTACCCTCCGCTATTGTGCAGCTGACCGCCTACCATTTCTTTTCAATTAGTAACAAAACCTTGTGGTTTGTTTCGTTGCCTGCTTGACTGGCTGGCCCTTTTGACGCCCAACCCGCTATTCAGCATTCCCCTTCACATTAACTACTCCGGACTCTCCTGTCTTTTGGTAATTGATTGGGTTGACCAATGCTCTGTCTCGGCAGAACTCCCCGAGCTTTTCTTTCGAGCTTCAGACGGTTACCGAGCGAAGTTATCCCGTGACAGGCGTACAACTTCTCTTGATCATTCCCATCCTAATGATTGCCCCATGTCATACCAAGTAAGTGCAAGTTCCAGATTATCCAGTATGACATCACACCTCAGGTCTCAGTCGCCACAAGTTGTTCTCATCATTACTGCTTGCAAACCGATCGCGTGCGAGATCTTCAAACTAGACTGTACCCCTTTCACTGTAGTACACAGTAGGACAAACCTCCTCCTTGGCATTAGTAGATGGCACGAACCGGACTGCGGAGGTTTTGTCGGATTGAAGGTTCAGACCGCTGTCAAACTTAGATTATGCCCTTGACGCTACAGCACATGAGGCCCGCCAAGCCAGAGTGATGGTGTCCTGGATACGATTCCAGGAATAAATAATGGCTGGTTGAGAGTGCTAATAACGATCGCTGCGTGTCATTCCAGCGGAGCCGAGACCACGACGGAACAGCGCGACTAGGGTCATTGTTTCTTCTTCAGCGTAGTACTTTTTTCAAAGGATATTTATGCAAGATTTTCCTTCGCTTTCGATATGGGAAAGGTTGCTGCGTGGCTGACCGCTCTATGTTCCACGTCAACCCAGACGAAATCGTTGGCTTGCACATGGCTTGAACATGGCTTGACTGTGTAGAAAGTACGCGGGCCACGGCTCTTGCACGCTGGCTAGGAGTTAATATCTCTGAGCCAGCAACTAACAGAAACTAGCTTTGACCATTGGTTTGGTTTCGAAATTATGAGAAGAAGAGATGGTGCTCAGACCATGGTTGTGCTCCAGAAATGTGAAGGAATCTAGTGCTTGCTGAAGGAGAGCCTCGCCATGTGATGATAGTGCTGATCTACTACTTAATTTTCCCATGTCTTCGGGCTATCCCGCCAAGCCTATCCCACTTGATGACTACTCGTGTGTTCTGCTTGAGATGAGACCATGGCAAATCAATAATAAGCACACATTATAGGATAGTAGAAACCCTGCAAGGTAATGGGCATACCCAGCCATCTGTGCAGCAATAATATTAAGTAAGAGAAGGTGGAGTGTTCAAGTCTGTCACTGCCTCATGGCCCGCTAACGTGCATCCACCATCCACGCTTCATGGCTACTTTTTATTGATCAATGGCTTCCCTCAGCCTACCCGAAGTCTGCAGGATTTGGCCCCCCCGCCCATGTGTGACCACCACATGGATGTCCTGCATATTTTCGGGGCTTACCTTCTCTCTGACGGGCCCCTTATACCGCCCCAGCGTTGAGTTTGCTTGAAAAGTTTGGGGGCGAAGGCCTAATCAACAATGCGTTCTGACAGGATGCGAAGTTACGGTCTTATATACGCCCCTCTCCTCGTCAGACGAGCGCAATGTCCTTGAGAGGCATCGTTGTATCGGCCTCCCGATGTGTCACCCTTCCCTTTACACGGGTGCGTTTTATCAGTGCCCGCAGCCGGCATCATGGGCTCGATTACAGAGGCAATAGGAAAGCGCACAGCAGAGCTGTCTCATGATGGAAGGGATGTGGCCATCACCTTGGCCGTGTGCCTGTTCCTGGCAACGCTCACCACGGGTTTCCGCTTCTGGTTGTCTAGAAGACGAAGGCCATTATTTTCCATGCCAGAGTCCATGACGCTCGTGTCTCTGGTAAGTCTTGTTGACAATTCCCTCGCCGACAATCCAAAAAAGGATTCATCTTGGTCCTTCTAGCTCAACATCTGACGGGATCGTTGCAGCTCTTATTCTACTCCTACGCCGTGGCGACCTACCTGAGTATGTTTTCGCGGCTACCCCAGAAAAGGACTTGTTGGATTCTAACGGATGTCGCATTTGCCTACTAGTTCTGACAATCGGGCACGGTGGCTACCCAACGTCTCAGACACAGAGTTGGCGGCTTACGTTCACATTCAAGGTATGTATGCGCCCAATAGGCTGCCAACGCTTCGATACTAATGACTGCATACAGTGTGTCTACTATCTTCGGTTGGCTTACGCCACAGGACTGGGCTTGGTGAAATGCAGTATCTTGATGGCCCTGTTCAGATCCCTCGCTGCTTCATCCAAGGCCGCTCGACATGCGATCTTGGTCATCATGGCGGTCTGCATTGCCTGGAGCCTTGGGGCTACCCTCATAAGCCTTTTGAACTGTCGCCCATTGAGCTACAACTGGAACCTGCAACATTCGGAAGGCCACTGCATCAATCGAAATGCCGCCTTTATGGCAGTGAGCATCATTGACGTTGTGACAAATGCCGCAATTCTAGTTTTACCGCTGCCTAGAATAATAAGAACAAAGATTACCCGACCGGAGAAACTAGTGATGATCAGTCTTCTGATCTTGGGGTTATTGTAAGTAACTCGACACTGCCTCTTTCAAGCAGGCCGGGCACTAACCTGCTTCCAAACAGTGTTGTTGCCATTACTGCGGTTCGCACAGTAACCATCGCCAGAACGGACTTTTCTGCCATTAACGACCATGGCAAGATGATCAGCATTTGGACAACGGTGGAGTGGACGGTGGCGCTTATGATAGCCAATTCTCCTGTGCTGTGGCCTTTGCTCGACTGGCTCGCTCCTTTCCATTCTATGGAGAACGGTCCATATGAACGATCGGCATACAACCCTTCATGTCACTTGCTAAAGCGTCTGCGACCAACGACTTTGCATGAATGCACTCAAACATTAACATCGAAGACGGCGGTCACGGAGACAGGCTCAGTCCACTCATCTCGATCTATCATCCGAGGGTTCGGGGCCAATTGGACAGAGGCAATCGGGCAAGCACAACAGCCAGATCCTTTTCTATCGTTAGAGCCGGGCGCAGTGCGAGTGCAGACTGAATGGTCAGTTGAACGGTCATCAGTGGGCAGACTGGATCGATTAAGGCCGGGCAGAAAATGATAGCGAAAATGACAATAAAAATTGTAGCATTCCCACCCACTTTCCACCAAACGTCCTAGTCGCAACTCCCATACGACATTCTGTACTTCGTTACTGCCAAATGTGTTTCCGCTTGGGCTGAAACAAGAGTGCCATTCCTTTCATCACACGCGTTCCGTCCCTCAACCAATCATTCACCAACAGGCTAAAATCTGACTTGCATGCAAGTTCCCGTGGTGGGATTGGGGGTCTTTTTTTCTTCTTTTCGCAGCCTTGTCATGCACTACCTCGTGTTCTGCCATCCTTCGGCGCATCTTGTACCTACAATGTACAGGGTAAATACGGGCGAAATTTGGCAGGGGTGCGCTCGGGCATGCTCATCTTCTCACCGGTCAGACTATTTAATCGGGTCAAGATGGAGCTGGCGGCCTTAAGTGACGTCACCAAATGCCTATGGAGATCCCTAAGGTATATGCTGGATTTAGTTTCCATTTCAGCAACAGCTATTCTGCTTGGTGTGAGTAGGCTCACGAGCGGGGTTAGTGCCCCTTTGATCGCTGTAGAAGTTCTGTGATCGACTTCTATACACCCTCGGAACCCCAGGTATAATATCCCTTTTTTATACCCCACCGTGATAACGAAACCAGCCCCTGTGGATACCAATATGACTACAAGTGAGCAATTTGACTACGTTATTGTCGGTGGTGGTACAGCTGGCTGTGTCCTAGCCTCACGGCTGAAGCAATACAACTCCTCTTTGTCGATCTTGCTTATCGAAGCCGGCCCTGATGCCAGCAACCACCCCCTCGTACCAGACGGAAGTAAAGCCACTCAGTTACTTGGATCAGAGCTTGATTGGACATACGAGACGGTGCCGCAGAAACATCTTTCTGATCGTATACTCTCAAATCACGCGGGGAAGGCTCTGGGTGGTAGTACCACAATCAACAGTGGTGAGCTTTAGCAATCATAGATCGGAATCCTAAACTTTGAGGTGGCGACGGTGGGTTTTTTTTTTTATACAGTCCAGAGCTGATGAATTCTATGTGGTGCGATTAGGCGGATGGATGCGAGGTGCAAAAGAAGACTATGACCTCTGGGCCAGCTTAGTCGGTGACTCTCGATGGAGCTACCAAGGTCTCCTGCCTTATTTCCGGAAGCTTGAGCATCACTTCGATCCTTCGGCCGACCCCGAAGTTCATGGCTTTGATGGCCCTATTAAAACTGAGTCTGTTTCGTCTACAGGCCGTAGGTACCCTCTTCGTCAACTGGTGCAAGAGGCCTGGAATTCCGTCGGTGTAACATATAACCCCGACATCAATTCCGGCAGTCCTTATGGGCTGGCTGAAGTTGGTGAGAATCGCGAAAACGGGATACGACAAATGTCGAGCTCCGTTTATCTGCTAGCATGACTGAAACCCTGGTCAAGCGAGTGCTAGTGGAGGAACGTGGGGTTCAAAAGGTTGCAATAGGTGTAGTATTGGAGGATAAGGACGAAAGCCAGATCATTGCACGTCAAGAGGTTATCATTGCTGCGGGCGCATATCGTACCCCTCAGCTCATGATGCTGTCGGGTATTGGCCCAGCGGAAGAATTACGGGCACATGGGATCAATGTTGTTCTTGATCTTCCGGATGTGGGCCGTCACTTTGCGGACCATGTAGTAATCTCGCAATGGTGGCAGTTGAAGCACCCAGAGAAGGGGCTAGCAATTGGATCACCCGCCTTCACTGATCCAGCTTTCTTCCGGGGAAACCCCATTGACTTTGTGGCCTTAGATTCAGTGCCTCTCGATGGTTTCCGGCAAGCACTGGCCAAGGACGACCCCAATTGCAACCCAGATGAGCATCCGCTGATTGCCTCCCAGCGCGTGCATGTGGAAACCTTTACCGTCTATGTGGCGCACAACGCTCAGGACCCTAGCATTGCAGTAGACGGTACACATATTACGACAGGCGTGTCCTGTATGCTTCCAACTTCTCGGGGCAGCATCAAATTAGCAGATCGAGACGTCCGTAGCGCACCTCGCATTGATCCTAATTACTGTGCTACGGAGGCTGATCGATATGTCCTGCGTGAGGGACTTCGGAGATTGCGAGAAGTCTTATGCGATACTCCAGCGGGACAGGAAATGATTGTTTCAGAAACAGTCGAGGAGAAATATCTACCCTTAGGTCCTGATACGGATGATGAAGCTATCGATGATCTCATCCGTCGTCGAGCTGCGTAAGACCATATTTGCTCTGCCATACTACATATCATTATGTGGGAGAGAATATTGCTAATGAGCACAGGACACTGTACCATCCTACGGGCGGTGCTTGCATGGGCAAAGTGGTTGATAGCGATTTACGCGTCAAAGGAATTGAAGGTTTGCGAGTTGTCGATGCGAGCGTAATTCCGACTCCATTGAGCACACATATACAAGCGTGTGTATACGCGTTGGCTGAACAAGCTGCGGACATTATTTCGGGTGTTTGTAGGGTCTAATAACTGTTTTTAATACATAGCAGACGCATGTCATTAGTAATAGTCAGAGTCATACTATTGTATTGTATATACTATCAACCTCCTTACTACTAGTAGCAATATATATATATATCAATAAAAATTCGTAACTCTTCACAACGGTGTACAACTTTCACAAACGTTAGAATACTACTTCTCTACATGACTACTCATTACAAGTAGTACGAAAGAAACTTAATACAGATTGAACATTTAACAGTGTCTGATGTGTCGGCATAGTCGTCCTCTCCCGCCCAGAAGAAGTAATGGCGGAGGTGGCCTTGTAGCAGACGGCATATCCTTCAGCGAAGAATGCCCCGATAGACGGAATCCTCAAGGTATTTTCCGTTTAAGTGACAGACACACAACAGTAACTCATATAATTAGCCTTGTGTTTCCTAAGTAGTCGTACTTACTGGTTTCAACTAATACTACATGAGAGTCTCATGCAGGTCTGGTCCAATCACAAGATCGATCATCGGAGGCGATCTCACCCCCTCACCTTTTTCAGTACTTAACCCAACTTCGTTTCAAATTTCCTATTATTTCCATCGCTAGTGAGTAATTCATTTCTTGATTATTAGGCTTGTCTACTGTAATTCTTGCCCTTTAATCCACCATGAGGGTTGCGACAGAGCTCCCCCTTCGCATCCTTACACACAACATCCGATATGCTACCTCCTCACCTTTCAAAGGCGAGCGCCCCTGGGCAGACAGAGTACAGCTTCTCTTGAACGAGCTGCAGTACAACACACGCCATGCGGAAGGCTTTATTTGTCTACAGGAAGTCCTACACATCCAGCTGGTTGACATCCTCACTGGACTCAATGCTTCCAAGCAGAACAATGCGTGGGACTATATCGGAGTGGGACGAGATGACGGCTGCAAAGCAGGCGAATATTCGCCTATCCTCTTCCAGCCTTCCATCTGGCAACTACGACACTGCGAGACTGTCTGGTTATCTGAGACGCCCGACATTCCCTCTAAGAGCTGGGATGCCGCCTCGATTCGCATCGTGACCATCGGTGTCTTTACCCACCGTGCCAGTCGCAAGACGATCTTGGCAATGAATACCCACCTGGACGATCAAGGGTCTCGGTCCCGACTAGAAGCAGCCCATATTATTTTGCACAAATTGCAGGAGTATCGGACTGGGAAAGCCTTTGGCCCCATGATCTCGGGGATGTTCCTCACAGGGGACTTCAATAGTCAGGAAGACCAAGAGGCGTATACCGTCTTGACGGCGCCGGAGTCACCTTTGGCAGACGCAGCGAAGTTGGTAAACCCTCGGGAGCATTACGGAAACCACAAAACCTGGACGGGGTTTGGACATGAAGGACAGGATCCGACGCGCATTGACTACGTACTGCTCGAGTCAACGGCAGACAAGGTTCTTAGCCATGGTCGTCAGCCATGGGCAGTGGAGGGCTATGCAGTATTGGCGAACCGATTCGACGATGGGGTCTTTAACTCGGACCATCGGGCGGTGGTCATTGATGTGATGTTATACGACTAGTCAACTAGCGTCAAGGCCCCATCAGCTGGGTTTCATGTTTCCCAGAATTTCCGAATGCTTTTTATACTTCAGTAGGGATAGAAAGACGCAAATACTTAAGAAGATGGACTTTAATTGCGAGGGAGATCAGCCAGAAGTGGGAAGGAAAGAATTGATACACATCCGTACCGATCCGAAGACCCGGTCAATCCACCATCAAAACGGCTCGGTGACGCCTAAGGGCCGGCAATGACGCCCTAGCGTCCCTCATTTTACCTACTCGGGAATGGTGTAGTGTCACATGACGTCCCAATGTGGGATAGCGAGCGGACACGCGCTGCTTACCATACGAGACAGCGAACGGTATTACCGCAGGCATACAGTATCCAGCGTAAGGAAGGTTACGATCAGACCAGAAGGCAGAGCAGCAGAAGAATGGACCTGGAATGGCTTCATGAGAGTCCCTGAAGGCCCTGCGAACCGGTTGGTGATCGCAGGAGACTCTGCTGGTCCTGCTGGCACCAGCCTAGCTGCCCCCTTCCCCTAGCCATTCTGCCCTCACACACGGGAACCCGAGCAGACCAGACTTGTAACGGGCCGGGCAGCGCAGAAGAGCGACCTTGTTACTACCTACTTACTCTCAGTCGACCTTTTCTCGCGCCCGTTTCCCCTTCTTCCTCCTCTTCTCTCTCCTCTTTTTTTCCCTCCCGCCGCAAAGGAAAAACCCGCCAAAAAAGCCACTACTAAGAAGTCGGGGGCAAAACCACCCAAACCACCCCACGTTCTTGTGCGATCCAACGATTGGATCGCGTCTAGCATCTTATCTGGAGATCGAATCAGGGGAGCTCGGGACCAGAAATTAAAAAAGAATCGGGAGCTGGAGCTGGAAGTGTGATCGAATACCGGCCAGATCCCCTCCCGGGAGCAAACGTCAGCTGATTAGCCCGGTTCTCGTCCGTTTCCTTCACTTGTGAAAGGCAAAAGAAAGACCCAGACCGGCACGCAGACCCATCCACATCTGCCTGAGTCTTGCCCTGGTACCAGCCATCCCCGAGTCGCTCTGCTCGGATTACGGATATTATTCTGTCCCCTTCCTTCTTGGTTAGTATCATTCTTTTTTGTTGTTGTTTTAATCGTGTTACCTTTATTCTTGCTCGGTCGCGTCCCCAATTCGTCCTGCATTCCCTTCCTTCCCTTCCTGCCGGTTGGTTGGTATGTCTTCTTTGCTTCCTCCCTCCCCAGCTCGTCAGTCATCCATTGCCTTCTTCGCTGTTGATCCTCCGCGCGTGCCGTGCGGCTCTTGCTGTCGGAGCGATCTCTAATCAGGACTTGGTTGATGCGACTCACCTGGGAGTAGCTTTGCGACATGCTTGTCCGTTGCGCACATCCGACGACGTATCGCGCCTCCGCCCGGTGCGCCGTCGCGTCGCCACTACCATTGACTTTTCTTACACATGGGACTCTCTCATACAGCTAGCTGACTTGGATGCGTCCGATCCTACAGTAGTCCTTCAAGGATGCTGCCGTGACTGAGTGTCGTCCATTTTCATCAGTTATCCATCCTCGCCGCTCAATTAGTGCCTCCTCATCTCTCCACCTATCCGTGCAAGTGACGTCTGTTTTGCCTCGCCCGACACGCCAAGGACGACCGCGGAACACTTCAATCTTCCTATCCCCAGCATGCCCTCGCCTGACCTCTCTCAGCCTGAACAGTTTTCAATTGACGCCCCGACAGACGAAGGACAGATTGGTTCAGGGATGTCTAACATAAGCGGGGATTATGGCGCCGTCGCGTCCGAGACTTCTTCCGGACAAGGTTCGGGCGGATCTGATGCGATTGCAGAGGGAAAGCAGAACGCAAAGGCTGTTCTCGCCGCATCAGGGGTGTCTCTAGGCTCTACCGAATCCGCCCATGACGCGTCGAATGGCAATCCATCACCTTCTTCTCAGGCAAACAGTGCCAATGGATCCGCGTCGAGCAAGAAACGATCCCGGGATGGCTCTGTTATCAACTCCTCCCAATCGACAGAAAGCCTCCCCGTACGTGTACGTGAAACCCCCGCCGACAAGATTCTTCTTGAAGACTATGTCAACCGGGAATTCCACCACTCCGCCTTGACAGCATGGCAAAATCCCAGCCAGGAGCTTTTACATCAGAAACGCGCTGAGCGCGATTACTTCTTGGCCGTACGACGCGAGAACCACATGAACCCAGCAGCTCTTTATGGTGTTGGCTACGAAGGCTTCGGCAATCAGCGCACCGATTTGCGGAATCAACATCCCCAGCTATTATATCCTGCGAATCGACGTCGTCCCGGGAACCGGCGGACGAGGGAACTCCGAATCTCCCGCAAGGATCTGAAGACGCAGAATGAACAAATCGAAGATTTAGTGCCAATCCGCTTGGATATCGACTGGGAAAAGATCAAGATCCGTGATACTTTCACGTGGAATCTTCATGATCGCGTGATTTCTCCCGACTTGTTCGCAGAGAAGCTCGTAGAGGATCTACAGATCCCTATCGAGTCGTGTGCACCGCTGATACGGATGATCTCTTCAAGTATCCAGGAGCAGCTTTGCGATTATTATCCTCAGATCTTCATGGAAGAAGAGCCATTGGATCCTCACCTCCCCTACAGCGCCTACAAGAATGATGAGATGCGCATTCTAGTCAAATTGAACATTACGATTGGCCAACATACACTGATTGACCAGTTTGAGTGGGACATCAATGACCCTCACAACTCCCCCGAGGAGTTTGCGGAGCGTATGACCGACGACCTGTCTCTCTCCGGCGAGTTCACGACCGCGATCGCACACTCAATCCGCGAACAGTCACAACTTTTCACCAAATCCCTCTACATCCTCTCCCACCCCTTCGATGGCCGTCCGATCGACGATCCGGACCTGAAGACCGCATTCCTTCCTACCCCTCTGACCTCTTCCTTCCGACCTTTCCAGGCAGCAAAGGAATTCACTCCCTACCTATACGAACTGAACGAAACGGAGCTCGAGCGGACTGAGGTGTCGATATCGCGAGATCAACGCCGACAGAAGCGGTCTGTCAACCGGCGTGGTGGACCCGCACTGCCCGACCTCAAGGATCGTCAACGCACTATCCGGACCATGCTCGTCTCGACAGTCATACCCAACTGCGCAGCGTCCCTGGAGGATAGCAACGTGTACAAGCGGTCGGGCTCGAGCCGTTCTAGGCGCGCTGCCGTCGGCTTGCGGGATACCGGAGAGGAGTCCGAGGAGTCCGACAGTGACGAATCGTCCATCACCGGCTCTCCTGCTATCGGGCCTCACCTAGCTCAAGGAACGGCACGTACACGAGGCATGAGAGGAGCTGCCAGCGCGGCACATGCGGCACTGCGAGCGAGTTTGGGCCAGTCCGCCACGCCCGAGCCACATAACGAGGCGAGAGCCGCAAGTCGCAGGCGCGAGATTCGCGAGGAGAGCGTTGTAGAAGAGCCGGATAAGCTGCTCGTCAAGCTCAAGATCTCCAAAGAGAAATTCCGGCAATTCCTCACGCATGGCCTGCAGTCAATACAAGGACTTGCGACCCCGGCAGCACAACCAGCCTCGCAGCAGAGCACACCCCAAGTTCAGACTCCCACTCCGAACCCCATGGCTCCGCCCGCCGCTCCCCAACCTGAAATCCGTGTACCCAGCGTTCCTCCTCCCGGACAACGACCAGTCCCCGCCCAACAGATCGGAGCCGTAGATGCTCCTCATCCCCCCCAGCCAGGAGTCCCCGGGGTGAGTAACTAACGACCTATTACTTCCATCTCGTCACCTCCACACGGGCCGCAATGTCTGGCTACCGAAGAAGTGCCGCAGACAGCCACATACTAACATGATTTTATTTAGCCCCCGCCGCCAAGTTGGCTTGCAGCGGGACTCGCACGCTTAAAACTTTCCTATCCCAACGACTCTTTCGAAGGGGTCATGCGCTACACCGCTGTTGACACGGAAACCATGCTGCCGGTAGCAAACTCTAGCAGTCAGCCGGGCCACAAGCTGAAATACCAATACCTCCCTCGCATTCGCTGCCACGACTGTCCGGGTAAGCTGTACACTCCAGGACCCGGCACGACAGTCGACAATTTTGAAGTACATCTCCGGAACCGCCAACACAAAGAGCGGGTGGAAGAACGTGTTGCGAAAACAGCAGCCGTAGCCGCAACCGGGGGCAATGCATCATAGTAATTAATGATTGAATGATGGAGCAGGGGGGTGTCTATTTTTCACTCATTAACCCGCATCAATGTACACTTTATACTCTTCTTTCCCTTCCTTTATTGACTCTTCAATTGTTCCCAGCCTTTGGCATCATCCTCTTGACTGTCTACTTCGAATCATTGATGTCTGTGTATGTACATGACTGAGCGATTGTTCTTGGTTTTTCCCATCCATCCATTCTATCCTATCCTATCCCTTGATTCCATATTTCCATCTCGTTGGATGTCTCTACTATCAGAAATGCCTTGGAAGATGGATACTCATCCCTTTTCTCTTTCTCTGCTACATCCTCTACACCCTGTCATTTCACCATACCTACCTACCTACCTACCTACCTACCTCATGGTCGGCGTAAATAAGGGACCTCTTCGTTATTGTTGTGCTTTCTTGGGCAGCGTTGCAAGGGAAATCATCGAACTTGGCAATTCCATTACCCCGGATGAATACATACATATTCGGTGACATATCACATACATACCGTATTCAAGCTCCCTAGTAGATTCAAATACCAATCAATTGTCTGTAGCAGGTCTGTAAATCTAATTTTATCATTATGATAATACAACAAACTACTTTTGATGCAGAACCGCCCACCAGCTGAAGTTAACACTTATAATCCTTCACTGCAGGGACCAACCAACCAGTCTACTAGTAATTGCAGCAGTAGTTAGTGGTAGTTTAGTAGATAAGAGAGTCCCGTCACATTCCAAAATCGCCATCGGCCTAGTTGATGTGACGTGACGTGACTTGCTAGCTACTTGATATTTACATATATACTCCGTCTTCATTGGTCACTATCCTGGGGGTCAAATGAGAAGAGTGACATGAGAATGGTAGGACTGGTTTTATACAATAGGGAAAGGGGAAAAGAGAGGAGGAGGAGGAGGAGGAGGAGGAGGAGGAG